TTGTTTTTACGCTTCCAAATAAAAGTTCCCATTTAGTTATATAAAAGTCAATTAGCAAGTTGTAAAATTTGTAAGTAGGATTATAGATTGATCAGGTAGCTGAGCTTAATTATATATGTTACTTAATAATTCATGAACTCAGAAGATATTGTAGTTTTGTTCTTACCTGTTCATTTTGCTATCAACTTCAACGAGCATATCTAAGAACAAGGAGAATTTCTTACCTGGTCATTTTGCTATCCACTTCAACGAACATATCCATGCAGTCTCTTTTTCTGACAATTATTTTGAAATCCATTTGTTACTCAAAATTTATTATATCTGAAGGGCCAAAGAAGAAAGATGATGAAAATGGTTAGACAAATTATTCAATTTTGGGATTATGTTAAGAAGTTAGATGATGGGATCTTATAAAATTCAAAATCTCAAAAGATAAATTGCAAGTGAAAAAGAAAATTAATAAACATGTTTTACATAAAACAAATATAAAAATATAAATGAAAATAAAATATGAAGAATGAGTTGCTTATTATAATAACATTTGGTAATTTCTAGAAATAATAAAATAATAATTATAATAAAGAGATGAGATAAAATAAAATAAAATAAAAGATAGATATTGACCTGTATTTAGTGGTAATGTATAAAACAAAGTGAGTATTATTATATTCTCTTTAATTAATAAAGAACAAGACAAAATAAAACTTAGAAAATTTTATTTTATTTTTGATATATATTATCATTAAACTTACAATATTTAAAACCATACATAGAAATCATCTTTTTTACTATAGTTTATAAAAAGTGTTATTTTATTACATTAAATTAAAATAATAATTTCTATCCTTGTTAAAATCATGTTGAAAAAACATTTGTAATTTATTGCTAGGAACATATAAGTTATTTTAAGAGATAAATTGCAAGTGAAAAACACCACAATCAATAATTGTTTTAAAAATTATGTATAAGAAATAAATTTGTCAAAACTATATAAAAGATAAACAAATCTAGAATTTAAATACTGAAAACCCGAAATATGTGATACAAAGCGTTGTTTTATGCAATCAATTACGCTTTAAATTGCATAAAGTTAGAAAATTAACTTACCAAGACATGTTATAAACTGTATTAATAACAACTTTCTCGATAATCTAGATTTTAAACTTTAAATGGTTTTTGCAATTTAAAATACTTTAATAAATCATTGTAATTTATCAAAAAAAATTAAAATATTTTAATAAATCATTAAATTTATATTAATTTTTTTTAATAAATTTGACTTAGTAGTTTGATTTTAATTAATTAATTAATTTAATATTTGTTTTGTTTGACTATGATTATAGCTAGGTTTAGTTTTGTTAGTAAGTTCTCTGACTCTCCCAAGTATTATTTTTGTACTTTTCTACGCTAAACCATGTTTTTAATTAATGATTATAATAATTAATTAATAAATATCTCATATGTAAAAAAAATAAAAATAAGAAGAGGAATCTAGCTTGAGGTCTCATTGCTATCCTTTTAAAGATATGTTAAATATACAATTAATGTGGCTTTTGTAGGCTCTTAAATTAAACTTCAAGGCTTTTTTGTCTAACATGCATCAAGGCTTCCTTCCATCTTTTAGCCCATTCTTGTAAGGGCAATAATGAAAATAGTCAAAACATAAAGGGGTAAAATTGAACAAATAAAAAAGTTTCTTGTAAAACCCTAAACCCCCAACACCTCCGCCTATATAAACCACAGCTAAAATCCTTCACCTCCATCTCTTCACCTGGCCCCTGCAACTCCAATCTCACGTGTCAAGGTGTGCGCCTTCTCTACACTACTTTCAACCTCTCTCATTCTTGTTTCACAGTTTGCACTGCATTTTTATTCTCTTTTGTATTAATTTTGAACTAATTGATGTAAATCTTGCGTGTTTTGAGTGTTGAAGAGCACATATCGAAGGCTTGCAGGTGGTTTATTTCAAAAAATCTGTGAGCTCAAAGCTTGTGCAATATCATAAATCACCCATTAAAAAAAAACCTTTTGACAATATACCTGTTTGCTTGAGGATTTTTTGTGGGGTGATGCACATTTTTTTATTCATTTGCTATTATTTTTGAAAGTTATGCTTTTGTATGGATTTGGGTCTTCGTTTTGATAAGAAATGCATGTTTCTGGATCTGGGTTTTTGCCTGTCTTTATGTTTGGTGGCTTTATCTCTTTGGATTTTTTTTTGGGTTTTGTAAAGCCAATTTGCAGAGCAAGGGTGTCGAAAATGGCACAACTTGCATTGAAGTTTGGCGATACTAATAGCAATTCTCCGTGCCTATCAAATCTTGATTTCATTTTGATTATGGCCTCGAACAAGTTGCTACATTGGTTATTCTTTTCTTTGTTCTTTTTTATTCTGTTTTGATGTTATAGTTGTTGTGGGAATCTAGTGTATGAAAATAGGCATTTAGGGATTGTTGCTAGTTTAGGTACTGAAATTTCTTTGTTCTTTTGATGTTTAACAGGGTTTGAATTGTGTGATTGAAGATGTCGAATCCGAAAGTTTTCTTTGACATTCTAATTGGCAAGATGAAAGCAGGGAGGATTGTGATGGAACTATTTGCTGATGCTACTCCAAAAACTGCTGAAAATTTCCGTGCTCTATGCACCGGGGAGAAAGGGATTGGAAATGCTGGGAAACCTTTACACTATAAGGGTTCGACTTTCCATCGCATAATCCCAAACTTCATGTGTCAAGGTGGGGATTTTACTAGGGGTAATGGAACTGGAGGAGAATCAATCTATGGCGCAAAGTTTGCAGATGAGAACTTTAAGCTGAAGCATACAGGGCCTGGTGTTTTATCAATGGCAAATTCTGGACCGAACACAAATGGTTCCCAATTCTTCATTTGCACTGAGAAGACCTCATGGCTTGATGGGAAACATGTTGTTTTTGGGAAAGTTGTAGATGGCTATGGCGTTGTTCAGGAAATGGAGAAGGTAGGGTCCAATAGTGGGACGACAAAGGAACCTGTTGTTGTTGAAGATTGTGGTCAAATAATAGAGAACTGAAGTGCATGATCAAGATAATGTCTTAGATGTATTTCACGTAATTAAGTGCTGCAAGCTTTATCTTTTGCAACAATGTAGTTTTTCATTTGAACTTGTAAAGCAATGCTCATCTTGTCATTTGCAACCTTAACCCCTGTTGTGTATATATGAGCTCCGTTTCTGGGAAATATTAAATTCTTGCTTGTTTGAACTTTTTAACACAAACAAAAGGGATACAGAAATTGAATTTATTTGAATAAAACTTCACAAAACTTCGCAATCAAATATTAGGGATTGCAAATGCAAATCAAGCTCACATTCAAATATCTTGTTATCCAAAAACCTGGATATACTTAGAAGTAACTCGCAAGAAAACCACACTAATTTTGTTGATGGCAAAATCACAAAGATGACTGCCTCAAGAAGATACTGTAGTCTTTCTGCCTCTATAATTTCTTCAGCCTAGGTGTGTGTGTATATATATATATATATAAATGATCAAAGCTAGGTTACACAGGTTCATATCCAGCTAAGAAACAAGTGCCAAGCCGAATTTCAAATCTTATTCTATTTATTGGATGAGAGGCAATGTATTTTAACTCTATTTGCTTAATTAAATCAACCAATCAATTCAAGCCACCTCATTATTTAATTCAAGTTATAAATTCCACCAGGGTCTGGTTACCATGGTTTGGAACTTGCAGGCAATGTTTGCTTTGTTGCCGATTAATGTTCTATGACCTGTTTTAGTGTTTGCAAAGTTGTTTATGGGCAAGATGCATAGAAAAGATTCTACTCAAGCTGCGTTGAACTGGATGACTGTCTTGAAGAAGTTTTAGGTTCATTTTCTCTTTAAGTTTAGCTAAGAGCAGTTGTAAGCCCCAAAACACCCTATAATAAGATCAAACAAGTCTAATTATATTTAGGTAAGTTTAGAGCTATCCATAGGTTCATCATTTACTTGAACAATCCAAATATTCATTACGAGCTTCTTCTTGTAGATTACTAATGGCGGCAATCTGCTAATTGTTGCACAAAATGGAAGCTCGGAGGCTTTAATTTTATTTCTTCCTGCCTTTTTCTTGGTTTCTTGGTGAAGCAGAGAATCTACATGTCGAACTTTTATGAATGCTGCTGCTTTGTTTCTTCCTTTTCTCTTTTCTTGGTACAATAGAGAATCCACTGGTCATACTTGAGACATAACTGCTCAAATCCTACCCCTCTATCACAATTCAAGAGCAGCTTTCGTTCCTTATGGTATTCTTTGATATGGGTTATTATTCTCCATACAGAGTACACTACTCTATCACTCAGAAGTCTGGCTTGATGTGTCAGTGTACTCTGTGAAGTTTTCTTTGCTTGCAAATCCTCTAGTTATGTAGTTATCCCCAATGATCTATTTTTCATACTAGCAGTTTAGCATAGAAGTTTTATCCTTACACACAGACACAGCGAGCTTCTTTGCATGCATCGCTAGTATTTCCAATCTCATTCTTCAACGACATAAAAACTCAGACCTCTTTTCAGATGTTGCTGCTTTATTTATGTATTACAATAGAGAGTCTACAACTCAAATAACCTTAGGATCACTGCCCAGATCCCCACCCAAGCTCATACAGCTCGAGCCAAATGCCATCTCTTGGTGGACATACTTATTTTACTACAAATTATTTCTTATATAACATATATAGCTTATTTTCTTATTCTTGTATAAATACTATTACGTACTACAGCTGACGAAGAAGCAACCTGGCCTGAAGTGTCAATCTCTGAAATTGAAGTTGGTTGCAAATCCTTCTAGATAGCTGGTTATAGAGAAGCCATATATATGCTCTCTGACTTTATTCTGATACTAGACTAGAATTACAGGGCCTTTTTTTTTTTCCCTCTTTTTTCTTACTTTCGAAGTTGAAAACTATGGAACTAATAACGGGTGTCTGGTGTCAGCAACATCCTATGTACTTGAAAAAATATCATCCAGAAAGACTTGATCGGCTAGCATGTCTTATGGCGGACAATCTTTCGGCAAGCCTGCAGAACAACAGTGCATAAACAGCTATAAATTACACTAATTAATTAAGAACTAATGATCAGCAGAGAAACAGCAAAGCCAAGAAGCACGTATCTTGTCCTTACTTAATGAGCTTTTCTTTATTAGCTTCCACTCTCTCTTTACCAATCTTCTCGAGATTGTCAAGGTTTTCTTTGCTCGAGTTGTCCATCGAGGCTTCGGCATATGTCAAGTTATCAACCTGGTTAACATTCAAGGAAAATGTATGATCATTTGGTTTTCATTAGACAATGCCAATCATTCAAGCATTGCAACATCTTTAATCATGAATTTGGCAGCATAAAAAACACATGAACAATTGTAGCTACCACCTGTGGAGCTTCATACGGAAAGGAAGGGGGTCGTAAATACCTGAATGAGGATATAGTTGTCTTCTAAACCAGAGAACTGAAAGAAACTGGATGTATATATTTCAACCATCTCATTCGATCCTGCCATCAAGACATCAGTCAATGGGCGAGATTGTTCAGGTCCAAAAAACCAGTTGACGAGTCCCCATGCGGTGTCAGGGCTTCCAACCTCGAGCTTGTTAGTTCCTTTTGATGATCCAGTTCCAAGGGAAAGAACAAGAAGTTTACGAGCATTGATTTTCTTTTCTTTCATCGCCTCGCATATAGCCAGAAAGGTCTGATAAAAACATTGTCAAAAGCAATTGACTATCTCCTTCAAATTTATTGAAGATAGATAATATACATAGAACAAGGTTACATAAACTGTGACTTACAGGATTGTTAACTGCAACGCCCCCATGCATCAACCGGGTTGTATTCCCTGGAAGTTTTAAGAGTACGAGGAGGGGGACGATCAAATATACTCGTGCCATGACAAACCTGTTTGAGCTCGGTGGTAGTTGAAAAATAGCTCGGTGGTAGTAGCTCTCAATCCAAGTACTTTAAGTGTTTATGATAAGAAGATCAAGTGAAAAAGATATAAAAAAATTCTTCCCCTCTCTTCTTATAAAAAAAAATCTTTGTTCGGCCAAAGTGACTTCCAAAAGAAACCAAGGTCACATATTTATATTCTCATGCTATTAATATTTACAACAATGTCCTCATGTCTAGTTCATGTGTTTTTCATTTAACCAAACACCTCATCTTAGCTTTTTTTTTTAAATATCATATATATAAGTTCTTTTCTTTAAAATTTCCTTTTAAATTATCCAGTACTACTTTTTCCTTTTCTTTTTCATTTAACCTATTTCATTATCAAGTTAGACTTTCAATAGTTTATAAACACCATATAAATTTTATATGAGGGTTTACATATTAGGAATTGATGATGATCAAATATACTCGTGCCCGAGGAGGAAGGTAGGTTGGTGCTACAGACGACCCAAGACATACTTCTGATAGCTGAACATCCATTGACTTCTCATGCCTTTCCTGCATTTTTTCATCAGAAAGGATAATGGCATGACATTATATATCCAGTTGCCTTTTTATTTTGACAAAAAATTTAAAACACATCAAGCCATTATTTATTACTGTTACATTTTTCTAAGTATATACGGACAAATGATTACCAGACAAGGCGATGCTGCCAGTTTAGGAACAGTGGGAGAATGGACATGCACATCTAGTTGACATGACAAATCCATCATGGCTTGAACTTTAATTTAAATTAATTTTAATATTAATTTAGTTAAATTAAAATGTTCTAATTGATTAATTTATAATTAAGTTGACGTGCTTAGCATAGTGAATTTTAAAAAAATAAATTTAAGGATAAAAATTAAAATAAAATTATTTTGGACACACAATGACAAGCAAATTAACCCAATGACTTCATGTAAACTACAAAATGGTATCATGAAATTACCAATTAGCGGTGTGTTTTCTACAAAACGAGGATATTATACGTTGTTTTTTTTTTTAAATTACTTGTGAACAATTTACACAGAATTCCTCTATTATTCAGTAACATCGCCACAGCTTGCTCTTGACGAATAATTTTCCTATAGTTTACCACAGAATCAAGAAGAATGACCTTCGATGTGCAGAAAACTGTTGGCTGTAGAAGCTTGATATCAAAAGAAGGAATTATCACATTAGTCAGATTCTCAGAGAGCATTGTCTCTTTCAATAATTTCTGGATTATGTCACGCAGAGGACCGCCATCATACCGGGGAGAACACAACGGTAAGATAAGAAACCAGATGGAGCGGATGATATCTAGAAAGCTAGAGCTCATCAATTTGTCACCTGAGCTCTTGCCATTATACCTGTTAACATGAGCTAATAAGTGCGTGCCAGTTTCTCCATCTGGAAAACAAATTAACAAACTAGTACTAACGTTTTCGACGAACTGAAGAATTTGCTCCGACTCCTCAAGGTTAAACTTTGCAATGTCTTTTGCAGCATTTGGGATTGGGTTACTTTCTTTTAGCGTGGTAACCAATTCTCCCAGAAGAGTTCCAACGTCAGGCTCGGTTTTCTGAGGAAATATAACAGCAGCATTTTTATGATAAAAGTCATTGATATCTTTTGCAGCAAACAAAGGTCGTTTCTGATCATTTGGTGCAGTAATCATAGCTGCTATAAGCCCTCCTGTGCTAGTCCCAGCAATGTAGTCAAAATAATCTGCAATCCTCACATCTTTGTTTCAGGATCCAACTCCTGCGAAATTAGATAAGGAATGATACCTCTCACTCCCCCACCATCAACATTCATTAAGAATGGTGATACAGATTCGAGTTTTTGATTGCTTATATGATAATTATTAGAAACTTATATGTTGCTAATTTTAGAACTTATGGGATTAGTTATAATGCACGCAAACTCCTAACACCACATTAATTAAAAAAAAATGGTGATAAGTTCTTCATCCGATCCATTCACAAACACTGTATTGCCTACAATTTTTTAAAGTAAACTAAGAACACGTACAACAATAGCAACAAGATTAATACTTGTTAATGTCAATATTGCAGAAGTTATAGGATTTCTCAAACAAAAGATTTTGGTTAGGAAACTTTGAAATGCTGGAGAATGCATGAATGCAAATTACACAAGTGCTCACTGCGGGTTTGCCATCTAGAACTGAAACTTGAACTTGTTAGGAAGTGTACGTAGCCAAGGGTGGAGCCTCACTGGGGCATAAGGGGGCAACTGCCCCCTTACCTTTTTATAAACATGTTTACGTGCAGAAACATAAATTAAAAGTTGAAAAGTCTCATGAATGGAAGGGAAGTTACAGAAAAATATGAGAAATAAAAAAGAGAAAAGGAATAGTACTCTGTGTCTTCATGTCCAAATAAAGCAAATGCATGTTTCGTGGAAAATCATCCATTTTTGGATTTTTTATATGCATTCTATTAAAATCACAATATTTTTTTTTCAGCAACGTTTATTTTTATATGATTTGGGCTATTTTGAAAAAAATATTTTTAATGAGATTGATAATAAAATCATCATGAAATAATTTTAAAATATAAAAACTTGAACATAACAATTATAATATAAATTTTTTTATTTTAAAAATGTTCTTAAATTAATTTCATTTGATATGAGTTAGAACATGTTTGAGAGTGTGATTGCGGTTATTTTTTAAAGTGTTTTTCATTCATAAATATATTAAAATAATATTTTTTTTTATTTTAAAAAAATTATTTTTGATATCAGTGCATCAAAATAATTTAAAAACACAAAAAAAATATTAATTTGAAGCAAAGAAAAAAATAAAAAAATTTATTTTTTTTAAAATACTTTTAAAATACAAAAATAAACAGGACTTAATATATATGTTTCGAATTAATTTATATATATAATACATAATATCAAATATTTATCAGTAATTTTGCCCTCATTTAAATTTTTTTATCTTCACCACCGTACGTAGCTGCCTCTTTACCACTCAAAGAGAAAGCACCAGCTCTTCTCCATCTTACATAGAAAAACTACGGCTTATTCGTCAATCTGAAAAGCGGGAAATATTTACTCAAAAGGGGGAAGAATTCATATCCGAGGAGGGGAGCAAAGCAAGTAGTTGATACCAATGATTTGTACTCATCTGGTATTGTCTTTCCTCCCATGAGTTCGATCAATCTTTTCATTTGTAACCCTAGTAAGATATGTAGGTCATGCAAAACAAAATATTTATAAAACCAAATCCAAAGATCGATTCAGCCTAAGACTCGGATCATGATTAATGATCAAGCTTTGAGTTTTTTCTTTTCTTTTCAAAACGATGTATTTTTATTCTTTTTTTAGTGACTTGACCTGAGCAGATCTCATGTCGACTGATTATCAAATTGAGCAGGCCAATCTTCTAAAAACATGCTAAACTTCGTGTAAGAGTGAGGATGTGAGTGGACGGCTGGAAGATTTATGGACATATGACAAATTAATAAATCCCAGCCCCATGAGATTGTTGACTTCTTGTCCACTCTTTGAGAATGGACCAGCTCTTCTCCGTCCTATATAGCAAAAGTAAGGGTGATTTAGAAATGTGAACAGAAGGAAATATTACTCGGGCGGCAAAATTAGGTGGTTCAATGCAATTCTCGTGTAAGAAATATTTTTGGTTACTTTGTTTACAATTTTAGCAGTAAACTTTTTATGCATTTATATGAAGCCCGAAATGTTGTTGAAAATTGAAGTTATGTTGTTGGCTTAGCTTCACGAACGGTTATTTCCGTAACCATTCTTTGCTAATATTTCAAGAAGATAGCTCCAGCATAAACCCATCTTCCATGGAAGCTCCCTTGAATGTTGTAGTAAACTTTTTTTTTTTTAGATTAACGTGGGTGTCCGGGTCAGCTTGCGCGCACCACGACTAATCTCACGGGCCCTGAAGTTAACGACCATGTAAGCCTCCAGTGGCCATCATATGAGCAACCAAGAACTCGAACTTGAAACCACAGAGGGAGCAAACCCCTTGATCTCAAGTCTTTACCACTTGGTCACCACCTAGATGGTTAATGTTGTAGTAAACTTAATTAAGAAGATGGAGGATATCAACCACTAGCCACTAACCACAGTCAATCATCAACCGTCTTCACACTATCACTAACAATTTGTGTTTACACTTAAAATCTGATTTTTCATTCTTTTAATTTGTATATAAATAGACAATTAAATTTATGTTATTATATGTAAGAAATATAAAAGAAAAATAGTAGAGAGAAAGAGAGGGTGTGTTTGAGAGCTTAACAAACTTCTTATTTATGAAATAAAACGTTGTGTTTTACTCTTCAAAGGGTTTCAAAGCCACTACCAGTGACCTCTCCCATCAACAACTGGTATCAAAACCTTGTTCGTAAAAATTAGAAGAGTTTTTTAGATGCACCTGAATTTTCAAAGTTGTCAAAAATATATTTTGATCATTTCACAGTATAGAGTTCATCACTAAAAACTCAACGGTGCAAAAATCAGCCTAATCAAAGCTAGTGTTGTCCCACACACACCTCCTGAAGATTTGCCACTATCACCCACGAGTCTAGAGGAAGAAGACGACTAAGCCACATGCATGCCATATTGGAGCCGAGTCGAGCCAACCAAATGAAGCCATAACCCGAGTCACCAAGTTGTTCAGCCAAGCCAAGCCATCAAGTTGTGCTAAAAGAATATTTTTGGAATATCCCCGATTCAACCCTAGAGAATTGACTAACATCTAGAATTGGTTTTTTGACTAATTCAACCCATTTTTGACCTATTTTCAACCAAGTCAGATCAATTTTCTACTATTTTGACCATTTTGGATTCATATGTGGTGTCCATATTTTTCAAAATTCAACTCCTAAAAAGTGATATAGTCATTTAAATAATAAAAAGACTATAAAAAATGCATAAACACTCATCTAGAAGCTAACCAGAGATAATTATAATAATTGGTGTATCAGATTAAAGGCATTTCTTAGCTCATAAGAATGCTCATAAGAATGTATAGAGGTTGTGGAATGTGGTTATAATGAACCAAATTTTAAAGAAGTAGAAGATTCTCTATAAGAGGCATAAAAGCAAGTCTTTAAAGTCAATAGAAAGAAAGATAACAACGTAAAGACCATTATTTATCTAGGTTTTGATGAAGCCACATTTGAGATTATTGCTTCCAACAAAAACATCAAAAGAAATATAGGAGGCTCTCCAATAGAAATACAAAGATGCTGATAAAATTAAGAAGATTTGTCTCTAATCTTTATGAGGTGAATTTGAATTATTGCAAATAAAGTGCTCAGAATCTATTTTTGATTATCACACAAGAATCATAGTGATAGTCAATCATATAAGAAGAAATGGAGAAGCCCTCAAATATGCTTAGATTACAAAGAACATTTTAAAATCCTTATATCTAAAATTTGATTTTGTTGTTATCACTATTAAAGAGTCTAAAGAACTGGACAAGTTGATGGTGGATGATGAGCTTATAGGTTATTTATAAGCTCATGAACAAAATATTATGAAAAGAAATAGAGATAACGCAATTTAGCATGCTTTACAATCAAAATTATCCCTTAAAAAAGACAAATATAAGCAATGAGAGACTTTAACAAGTGGATATACCACCATAAAAAGACCAGCTGCATTATTTGTCTAACAAGGATTAGGTGAGAATCAAGAGAATATATGTCATCTAGATTTTGAAGCCAACAATCACATGTATGAACAATAAAATCTATTTGGTGATCTAGATGAAACCATGTACAAGGGTAAATCACCTTTAAAGTTACCTTAAAAGTTCTAGTAAAAGGTAAAGGTAACATTACAATCAGGTTGAAGAGTGATGATCATAGATACATCGTAGATGTTTACTATATTTCAACCATAAAGCACAATATGTTGAGTGTAGGTCAACTTTTAGAAAAAGATTATACTCTTTTCATGAAGAATTGTCATCTAATAATCAAGGACTACAATGAGAGATTAATTGCTTTTGTGAAGATGTCTAAGAAAATGATGTTTCTTATAAATATCTAAAATGACATAATAAAGTATTTGAGTGTCATCTCCAATAATGAAGAATGTCTCTACATCTAAGACTTGGACATTTGAATTTTACAAGTCTAAAGATATTAGCAAGCAAGAAGATGGTTAAAGGTGTCACACCCTCATAAGAGCATGGCGTCGCGGTGACCCTTCCTGGAATGGGGAAATGATGTCGATGTCTTTGTTTTGTGAATAAAAGAGTTGTCACCTAGTATTATGGTCACTAGGAACCTTAACTGGTCTTTAAAGATTCTAAAGCGAGGGACTGGTTGCCTAAATGGAAGGTTTTAGCACCCCTACTACGCTCTACCTAAGTTAAGTTGCTTGGTATTTGGTTTGCCTTATAATTGTTATAGTGTTGGTGTTCTGTAATAAGTTTTTCTAAGATGAGTTTGCTATGATGAATGAACTTGGGTTCAAAGTCTAAAAGAAAGAACTCTTGATCAATGTGGATCACATCTTTAGATATGTCTATAGAGTGTCAAGGAGAACTGATACAAATCTTTTGAAATCTGTGTTTGATTTGAAATAAATTTACAACCTATGAATTAAGAGACAACTAAGATAGAAATCTAAGGAGATTCAATGTACTTAAAAGTTTATTTT